AGAAGAGTCAGACAAGGTGCCGAGGCCCTGGGGCAGGGGTGGGGGGTGGGGGGTGGGGCTCCCAGGGAAGGGAGCTTGAATGATCATCCCAGGGAAGCAGGTGGCTCCAGACCCTATCAAATGCCTGTTAGGCTAATAGTTTTCTGGGTTCTCTGTCTGCGTGAGTTAAGCTCAGGCGGCCTCGGCAGAACTGAACACCCCCGTCCCACTTCCGAGAGGCTCCCCCACCGATGGGCCAGCCCGCAGGGGCGGGGCTGGTGCCCACAAGGCCCTACCTGGTAGTTGCACTCCGGGTCAAGGCAGTGGTAGTGCTCACGGTACTGGTAGGCGCAGTGGATATGGCCACAGTGCTGACTGCCGGAGAACCTGCAGAGAGGAAGGGTGGGCTCAGCCCTCTCTGGGCAGCAGCCCCAGGGAGGACTCTGCTGCCAGAGCAGCAGAGAAAATATGTGCCCATACCCTGGGGAAGCGCTGCTGGGGTTCAGGGGCCCTGAGCCCTTCGTAGGGGTATGGGGAGCAGAGGTGGTCTGTGGGGGTGAAGTGGCAGAGGCCAGGGTGAGTGATCAGGCCTGTTGGGAATCCTAGGACCACTGAACTGCAGACCTGTCCTGCCTGCCTCGGGAATGAGGACGCAGTGAGGCACACAGGCCTGGCACCAAGGTGGGGAGGAAGAAGCTGGGGCGGGCCAGATGGCAGAGCAGAGACAGGGAGGAGGCCTGGGATGGGATGGGATGAGGCGGTGAGGGCAGGAGCCCCCAGGGTGACTGCCTTTCCTGCAGGTGCCGCCCACTGGCCCCGCACCCAGAGTGAAGCCAGGTGCTGGAGACACTGGCTGGGCCAGCCCAGGGCCCCGCTGCTGAGAGGTGTTAAAGCCTCTCTCTGTCCTGGGCTTTCCTGACACTTGAAACAGCCCAGGGTTATGAATTTTTAAAGCACAGCATCTGTTCGGTTTCCTGCGGCAGGGAGTGAGCTCTCCAGCCAAATCCGCAGTCAGGAGCCCCATGCTGCCTGGCCACTGCCCGCCTCCCAGAAACCCCGACCTTCTCCAGGCCCCAGTGCCACTGGGCTGTGGTTCTCAGGCTCGGCGATGGCCACCCTGGGGAGGCGGCTCTGGGGAGAGCCCGCTAGGACAACTGGGGAGGAGGCTGGCCTCAGACTGTGGGACACGCGCGCACGCGCGCGCGCGCACACACACACACACACACACACACACACACAGACAGAGACAGAGGGAGAGACCCCTTTGTAAAGGGAGAACCACTTGCAAATAAATATTTAAGCTGAAGCTGCCAAAAAGGCCATCTGCTGAGGCACTAATAATAATGATAATAATAATAATAAAGAGATTGGAACAAAGCTGAAAAGACAGAGAGGGACAGGAAGAACCTAGAAGATCAGCAGAAAGACACAGGCTGGGGCACAGCTCCCTCCTTGGGCTGCCCCATCGGGTGTTGGCAGCAAGGGGCCAGATTTGGGGGCCTCCATCGAGGCGAAGTTTCTTTACCCACCCATCATGTGGCCTTAAAAGTGTAAAAGGGCAGGTCTGCGGTCAGGAGGTGAGGGTCAAGGCCCGGTCCAGGGAGCACACTGAGGCCATGTCAGGGAGGATAATTGCGCGCACCTTCTCTCATCCCCAGCGGCTCCACGTTGGCCTGAATCCCACCCCAGACTCTGTATGAGCCGTGGCGGGAGCTCAGTGCTCACCTGTGGCCAGGCCCCGCCATCAGGCCCCTTTGGGCACCCTGGCCCTGCCTAGGGTACAAGCTGCTTCAGGGCGTGTGGCCCAGGTCACATCGAGGGGCAGGGGCTGAGATGGGACGCAGTCCCTCCGGGGAATTTGAGGGCATGGGCGCATAGAGGTAGGGAAGCAGTAGGCACTCGGGCACTAGCGGTCAGATGGGCCTGTGGTCCCAGGGTCCCCAGGCATTCCTGGCCCCATCCCACCACCTCTCCAGGGCAGTCTCCTCCCCAGGGGCCTACCTGGCAATATATTTCTGGTAAATGTTTACATCTTCGGTGACAGCTGGTTTATCTGTGGGCAATCCGTTCCTGGCGAGAGACACACAGGGCACAGCCGATTAGCCGACAGGGGTAACTTCACACCCCAGAAGTGTCTAGGGGGCAGCTCCCTGTCCTGGGGCCCTGGCCCTTCCCTCTCTTGCTCTGTTGTGCTCTGAGGCCCTCAAGGTGGGACTGGAAAGCCCTTTGGCGGAACCTTGGCACAGGTTCAATTAGCCCAACTCCGGCAAGGGCCGGACCATCCCAAGCTGGCACGGGCCTAGCTAGGAAGCCTTGGAAGCTGGGGCCTGGCCCCCGTTGCATACCGGGAGTCAGCAGGATGCTGGGAAGACCACTGGGGAAGGGGCAAGAGAAGGTGGGGTCATTTGATCAGAAAAGGCCCCCTCCCAGGCCAGTGGGCAGCTCCCTAGATCTGCTCCAGGTTTTTGGCTCTGCCTCAAGGGGGAAGGGAGTGTGGGAACCCCACACAATTGATCCACAGATAATTTGACCGTTGCCTGGGGGTTAGCGATGAGTGTGCCCCCAGACTCCTGCCTTCTCTTGCTGCCTTCCCCACGGCCCAGGCCCTGAACCTGGGAGCCACGGTGACCGGCTTGGAGCCCAGAGCCCTAACCCCAGACTAGGGCTTTCCCAGCCAACCCCAAGGCTGCATTTGAGGCACAGAAAGCCTGTCACTGGCAAATGGGGGTTACAGCAGTCCTTGGTACGCGTGTTAGCAGATGAGTACATGCATGGGAATATCTGACGTGTGATGCACGTGTGCACACTGCAAGATGTGTCGCGTGCTGGGCGTGGGTGGTTACGCAGGCCGTGTGTGTGTGTGTGTGTGTGTGTGTGTGTGTGTGTGTGTACCTGTGTGCACACGCAGGCATGCGCATGTGCAGAAGCATGTGAGAGCCAGTGCGTGTATTAAGCTGGCCGCATGGTGGACGTGTACAAGTACGAGTGGATGCGTCCACGAGCATGGGCTTCAGGGGCAGAGAAGTGGCTACTCTAGTCCCGAGTTCAGGATGGGCGTCCTTACTTGACAGTGGAGACGGTCCCCGTGGTGATGGAGTCTGTTTTGGAGAAGGTCGACTTCAGGTACTCGGGAGTGTTGAAGGGCAGGGAGGCAGATGGCTCGGGCCCTGGCCCAGGGGCGCTGGGAGCACTGGGCACGCTGGGGAGGGGTGCAGGAGCCAGGCTGGGGGTGGGCGGAACCTTGGCGGGGCCCGGCTTCTGGATGGCCCGGACGTCGTACTTGGAGGGGCGCCCCACCTTGCCCGTCTTGAAGGCAATGGCCCCGCCCATGTCGGGGCTGCCCTCCCCGGGTTTGAAGAGGTGCAGGTACTTGACGTTCTCCAGGTCGTACTTGGATGGCTTCTTGTAGGTGCTCCCATTCTGGGGCCGCAGGTTCTCGCCCGTCTTCAGTTTCTGGATGAAGAAGTCGTACTTGGAGGTGCGGGCCACCAGGCCCTGCATGGGAACGCTGCTGTGTGAGGGCAGGGGCAGGATGGTGGCCTTGGTCTCCAGGTGCGCCGTGCTGCTGGGCAGCCGCAGGCCGGGCAGGGGCCCCACCACGTCCTTGCCCGCCCGCTCCTCGGCCTTGGTGCTGTGGGCCGGCCAGGAGAGCTGCTCGCCGGCCTTGAGCTTGCGGATGTACTCCTCGTATTTGGAGAAGCGCGCCCGCTTGCTGAGGGCATCCTCGGAGGCGGGCAGCATGGAGGAGGTGGCCACCTCGGGGGTGGAGCCTGCGTGCAGCTTCTCGAAGCTGATCTTCCTGGCCAGCTCGTCCCTCGTGTTCTGGTCATCGTAGCCAAACATGCCGAGGAACTCGGTCATAGTGGAAGCCGCGTAGTCCCGGAGTGAGGAGGCCTCTCCTGCAGCAGTGGGGAGAGGCCGGTCACCTCTGGGAGGGAGCAGGGTAGCCAAGGGACAGGGGGCACCCCCTCCCCGTGAGCCCCCACCCACAGAGGGAGGAGGCTGGCATGGGGAGGGGGCGGAGCACGACATGATCTATGGACATTTGGCTCACTTGTTAGGTTTTACGACTCTTAAATTAATTTGTTTAAAAAAAAAGTAATTAATACCGGGGTAAAATAAAACGAGTTCATCAATGCCAGGAAAATCAATTTCCTAAATGTTCTGGCCGATGGCTTTTCAGTACATTAAACAAAGTTTCATAAATGTCTCCTCTCTCTCGCCTTGGCCTAATATGAAAGAGAAGTCACTTTACTGGAAGTAAGGCCAGATCCCAACCTGCCTCCCAAGGGTGGGGTGACACGGGGGCTGGGGACAGGTAAGGATGTGGGCCGGCAGCTGGGCAGTCAGGAGGGACCCCAGGGGCTGAGGGTTGGGGGTGGGCCTGGCTGAGCCTGTCTGGAGGACTCTCCCTGACCCCCACAAGCAGACACACAGGCCCTCATCCCTGGGAGGTAGAGGGCTTACCCCAGGCCTCACCAGGAGCTGGCCCCCCCCCGGCCCCACCGGCCCCCCACATACTGAGGGTCCCAGACCACAAGGCTGAGGGGGCAGGGGCCTTGCCAAAGCATTTGTTCAGACTCACTCGAGGCCCCTTGCCCCAGCCAAGAATTATGACGTGAGGAGTCCTACGAACCTCCCCGTCATCCTCGTGCCCGCTCATTAAAGGTGGCCACCCTGAGGAGAGTCTGCCTGGGAGGCTGGCCCTACTGGCCCCAGGCAGGGGACCGAGGACAGCCTGTCTACAGGCTCTACCTGTGTCCACTCTGGGGCACACAGAGATCCCGGAGCGGCCTCCCCACAGGGACGTGAGCAAACACGTACACACACACATACACGCACATCCCCTAGCTACCTTCCCAACCCTGCAAACACACACACATGGACACGAACCACCCAAACCCTACACCAATCTCCCCAGGATGAGCCTCAGGACGGCAGAGGCAAGATGATCCCATTCTGCCTGGGGTTCTTCTCTGGAGCCCCACGTCCTTGCACACATGACCTTCGCCACAGCAGATGTGTGACCCCCCCCCAGCACACACAGGCTTACTCATTCTCGTGCAGAACACTCACGAAACACCTACTATGGGCTCCGGCCTGGATCAGGGGTGGGCGCACATAGGAGGGTGAGACCCACATGGGCCCCAGGGACACACATGTTTTCTCCATTCCTGTCTGAGCCAGCAAAGTCGGGCACGTTCACTCAGAGCAGCAGGGCCCCAGGCTGGGAGTCCTAACAGCACAGCCAGGGGGAAGGCATGGCTGAGGAAGGGGTGGGAGGCCCAGGACCCCAGCAGGGTGGCAGATGAGGGTCGCCTCCCAACCCTCATTGCAACCTATCAGGTCTGTGTAGGAAGAGGACAGTCACAGGTGGCACCTGGAACCCCAGGTGGGCAGAGTGACCCCGGGAGCCAACAGATGGCTGTTCCCTGGGACGGGGTGGCCGGTGTGCCACTGTCCTGACCTCAAGCTACATGGGGTTGGGGGCCCAGCCTGGGAGGAGGGGGCTCTGGCTGCTAGATTCAGTGGCTCAGGGACCAGGGAAAGGGGCTAAAAATAGCAGGAGGCAGCTGAGCCCTCACTATATATGGCAGAGAGACAGAAGGCTTTGAAGGGCAGGCAGCTTAGAGGAGGGAGGGGGCTGGGTGGGGGTCTGAGGCAGCCCAGAGGCCTGCATTCCTGAGCCCCCAGGCCCAGAGAAGGTGGTCTGAGCCTGGCGGTGGCTAGGGCTCCAGCTGGTATCCTCTGGTGCCCAGGGCTGAGCAGGCTGCCCCAGGTGTCAGACGGGGCGATGCCCAGGTCACGAGGCCACTGGCAGTCCCGGTCCTGCCTCCTACTGTCCCAGCTCTCCATTTGGGGTGAGAGAAGGCAGGGGTCAGGGCAGGGCTGGGCCTGGGGGGTGGGGCGGGCCCCTGATGGGACAGCGGCCCTTGTCCCCGTCCCTCCCTCTCCTCTGGCTCAGCACAATCACCTTGTGTCTGGGAACGGCAAGGGCTTTTCCTATCAGAGGAAACTGAAGGTCACACTTTTCCTCATTGATCTTGCAATGTTTGTTAATTACTCTGTCACTGATGTGGCGAAGGATAATTAAACAGCTCTGTTTATATCTTATATGCATAATTATGTGGCTGCGCAGGGCTCCCCGCGCAGGGAGGAGATGCGCCCCTCGCTGCAGGGGGAAGGGGATAGGGGAGCAGGCAGGGGAGGCTCGGGGCACCGGGCACAGGCCTGAGAAGGAGGCTACGAGCTGGAGAAAAGGCCCCGCACCCGGGGTTCCATCCTAGCCACGGTGACCCCCTTCCACCCAAAACCGCAGGCCCTCTCTCCCTGGAGTGTGAGAAGCTCGGGGCTGCTGTGAGTCATAAGGACAAGGAGACAGCAGAAAAGCCAGGCCTCAGCCACCTCGTGGGAAAGAGGTCAGCCAGAGGAGCGCGTCCGGGGCAGGTGGCTGTGATGGGATCTGCGGGCCGGGCTGAGCCATCCTGAGGCCCTGTGCCTCGCCCCTGAGAGGTCCTGCCTAGCAGAGCCGGTGTCCCTGGGAAGGAGAAGGATTCCGGGAAGGGGCAGGGGAGGAGGCTGCCAGAACAGGTCTATCCCGGAGCTCTGCTCCTGTGGCTCTAGGGCTGACCCTGCAGGCTCCTGTGATGCAGGGGTGGAGACACAGTCCCACGGTCTGTCGCGGGTCCCACGTCCGCACAGCCATCCCTCACCTCCTCAGGCCCCCCATGCTCACAGCTGCCCCCAGCCCGGCTCACACCTGGAGTGCTTCCCTCCCACCCTGAGCAAGTCTTCCCTGTTCGCGCCAGTACCTCGGCCCCAGGCCTCGTGGGGCTGGATGAGGTGCCGGGACACGGAGCACGAGTGGGGGAAGCGGGCAGGCTCTGCGGACCCCCTACTCCTTCCCTGCTGCCTGCCCCCCCCCACGGGCTATGCCATCTGTCCGTGCGGCTGTCTGTCCAGGGCTTCAGGCACCTACCCGAAGCCTGCTTGGTACTGGGGCCGCTGTCGTCCTTGGAGGCCGCCCCGTCAGACTCCTTCTCCTCCGTGACGCCGCCGCCATCCCTGGGGGGCTCTTCG